TAAATGTCATGTTATTAAATTCTGATTTACCATTTAACTTATGGGGCGAAACCTTAATTAGTGCTTGTCATATAATAAATAGAATTCTTTTGAAAAAGTATAAGGTTTCTCTATATGAAACATGGAAATGAAGGAAACCAAATATTAATTATTTTAAAGTGTGGCAGTGTCTTCTTATTGCAAGAACACAGATCCTAAGAGAACTAAATTAGGTCTTAGAGGTATTAAATGCGCCTTTGTGGATTATGCTTTAAATATCAAGGATTACAGGTTATAAAATTTAGAATAAAATATTATAATAGAATCAAACGACGCGGAGTTTTTCGAGAATGTATTGGTAACAAGAAATTCTCAAAATGAAACTAATGTAGACATTCCAATTTCTAGAGAATCACATGAAGAGACATCTATAAGAGATTCCCAACTTATTTCTTTCTACTTAGTAGAGAGAGATATGAAAGATGTTGTAAGAACAATTCCTTTTGTTCTTCAGTCAAAAGTGATCCTAAAACCTATATGAAAGCAATGTCTTCTAGAGATTGCATATTCTGGAAAGATGCAATAAATAATAAAATGAATTCTATTATATTCAATAACACTTGAGAAATAGTTGATTTACTAAAGGGATCTAAACCAATTGGTTGTAAATGGATGTTCAGAAGGAAATATAATTCCAATGGAACACTCAATACTTATAGAGCTAGATTAGTAGCTAAAGGGTATCGACAAAAAGAAATAATAGATTACTTTGACACGTATGTATCGTGTCTAGGATAATCACAATAAAGATCTTGTTTGCATTAGTATTTATTTATGATTTACATGTTCATCAAATTGATGTCAAAAAAGCATTCATAAATGAAGATCTCGAAGATGAGGTTTATATGTAACAATCAAAAGGGTTTGTTCTACCGGGAAATGAACATAAGGTATGCAAACTAATCTAAATCCTTATATGGATTAAAACAAGCTCCTAAAAATGGCATGAAAAATTTGACACTACTATTATGTCGTATGGTTTTACTCATAATTCAATTGATAACTGTTTGCATATCAAAGTATGTGATAATATTATTACATTTGCATGTCCTTATATAGATATGTTAATTATTAGTAATGACATAGAATGGATTAAAGAAACGAAGATGTTTCTATCTTCAATGTTCAAAATCAAAGATTTTAGACAAGTAGACACTATCATTAGTATCAAAGTTAAGAAGGATAGTGGGGGCTATTAATTAAGCCAATCACATTATGTTGAGAATGTGATAAATAAGTTCAAATATTTGAACATTATAGAGGCAAATATCCTCGTTCGATTCAAGTATCAAGTTGGTAAAGAATGATGGAAGAACAATAGCTCAAATTGAGTATGCGAGCGCAATCAGCAGTCTTATGTATGCGATACAATGTACAAGATCCGATGCTACATTTGCTGTGAGTAAACTAAGTAGGTTTGCTAGCAATCCAAATTCCGAACACGTCCAGGTAGGGCTCTTGGTTACTTAAAGGAAACCAAA